GGAAAAGCAGCTTGTCAATGGGCACAGTGAATCAGGAGAGCAAAACATTTATCTGAGCTCCTTCCCTGGCCAGCCATGTACAGCTTAGTTGCCCATAGGGCTTCCTGGGGACATATTTTCATATGACAAGCAAAGGTCATTGTGGGCATGAGACATGAGTGAACAAATGTTAATCGAAGGCCTCCATGCCAAGACACGTGGGTAGCATTTGGACCAACCAGAGTGCCTGTTCTTCTACCATCAGTCGGTTTCTCTGGTGATAGAAGCGCCAGCTCCCCACGAGGGCACCAGCCTATAAGGTGCCCTTTCCCCTCAAGCCTCGCTGCTCCTCTTTCCCTCTCTCCCTCTCTCTCTCTTCCCCCTTTCTGTTTCTCTGTAGAATTTAAATCACTTTCTGTGCTCAGAATGAGAGTTCATTATACAACGATTACATAGGCCTTCACTTCAGAACAGAGACAATGGGTAACCACCATTTATTTGCGTGACTTTCACCCCATGAATAAAACCAGGTCTCTGTATCCAAATACTACCCCTTCTCCGGAGTCTCTTTATTTTCTTTGATTTCCCTGGCTGACAATATATTTCAGATAGGTGAGCAGAGAAAAACCCTGCCTGTCCTGCCCTGGGTCAGGAAGCTCCAGGGTATCTCCATCTGCACAGAGGGAATCATTGGGATCCTTTCCCAGGCTCCCCCATCCTGGCGCTGTGTGGCAAAACTCTTGCCCACAGTGGCTTCTCACGGATTCAGGGACTTTGCTGAGGTAGAAAGGCCCAGACACCCAGCATGCCGGGGAGGATAATACTTCTCACTCGATGAGGGAACGTCTCGATGAGGCCACATCTGCTCCGGTGAAGGTGGCCCAGGCAGCTGTGGGCAGCTGCGGCCCCTCCTGGCTGCTTGGGATGCACATGTGGGTCTCCATTGTAGCCTGATGGGGCTGGACAGGTGGCGGACTCTTGGGAGGCTCTCCAGAAAGGACTTTCTTATTGATCTCTTTCCCAGAGATCTTAGCTGAGTGGGCTGTGGCAGGGCAGGGTGGGGTTGCCGAGGTCAGATCATCCATTATGGAGTCTTTCTTTGTGCGCGTCGACTGCTGATGGAGTGTGATGGCTGAAAGACTCCCTAAACTCGGAATTGAGTTGAGACTGAACAGTTTTCCACAGCATTACAGACTGCCAAGTTGAATAATTTCACCAGGGAACATTTTTTTCCTTCTCGCTCTTCCTTGATTGTCCTGTTGTCCTGGGAATTTGGGTTCAGGACAATAAGGGTTTCCAGCACTAGGAGAAGAGGGGCTATGGATGGGCTGGGTCATTTGGGTAATTTTCTTGATCTAAAGGGGATTCACAAAGCAGACTTTCACGCTAAGGTGGGTAGAGGCCGCCCGCCCTATCTGGGTCACATGGAGCACTGGGCTCCCCAGTTCCCAGGAGCCAGAAATATCAGGCAGATCGGGGGTCCCCCTAGGTGGAGCAAACACTGGGGACCTTTGAGCAGGGAGGGAGCCGAGTCAATGATCTGTGGATTTAAGGAGTGTCTCATCTGCCTGGCGGGGCAGCCCGCCCCTTCCGGCAGCCTCCTGCTCCCCATCCCCCTCTGGAGCCCCGGCCTGGGCCACCAGCCGAGATCCTGCAGGCTGGGACCCTCTCTGAAGAATGTGGAATGGCCTCTGCACAGTAACAAAGAGAAGTCCCTTTGATAACCTGGTTGGGCTGCCCTGGCCTCTTCCGTTGCTTTATTTACCTGGATCTCCTTCTTTCCACCCTTTCCTCCCCTGAAAAGTCAGCTCTGGCTCGGTGCAGCTGCAGTCTCACCCCCAGCCCAATTCCAGCCCCAAGTTTCCCAAACAGGTTTTCGTCCCCTAGAGCAATTTGCTACGGGGCTTCCCTGATCCCAAAGTTGGTAGCTGAGGCGTGTAGGGTGGGAGAGCGCCTCTAGCAGGAGGGAGTAGGGGTGCCCATACCAGGTGCTTCTTGGGTTAGGTCAAAAGTCTCTAGGAAGCTGACAAGCACTTCAGGCTCAGGATTAAGACAACCAAGTGCGGCATGATGCAGGTGGCTCTGTGTCCTGCCGGGGCCACAGACCTGCACTCAGAGGCTGGGGAAGCTGCCTCAGCCGGAAGCAAGCCTCCAGAGGACAGGCAAGGACCACTCAACTGCCAACTGGTTAGGGCTGTCCAGGTAAAAAGACACCAAGGCCCCTTTGCTACCTTCACAAAAATCTAAATTCTTCCCAAATCCTACCCCTTTGGGCAACCCAGCTGGACTCTCTTTTGGCTGAGGGGACCTAGTACACTGAGAGAGACACTCACTCTGAGGGGTTTGTCCAAGAATGCAATCTATCATCAAATAGCCCGACCCCGGGATGATACTACGCAGGGTCCTGCTCCTTCCGAGGAAGCCCACTTTTGCAGTGAGGGAAACCAGCTGGTTTTCGTGCTTGGTTCCTTTCTTGAGTTCAAGCACCCCAAGTGAATCTCAGGCTTCCCTGTGGCTCAGCCAGTTCTGGGCCCCCGTTTGACCAAAGCAGTTGGGTGCACAGGCTGGAGTCCCTTCTCCAGGGCCAGCACAGAGACACAGCTGGAAAACGGGGGCAATTAGCCAGGGCTGGCAGTGGGACCATAAAATCTCAGGAAGTGGCCACCACAGGGTTGACGGAATGGTTGTCCCTAATAAAGCGATTGTTCCAAAGTATGCCAGCATTCTGAAGACACAGGCTAGAGCCTCAGCTTGGGCTTCCAGAGCTCTGGCCTGGGAGGGGGGTCATGAGGGACTGAAAGGGGGATTGTGGCTCCAGGAAGAGGAGGGAGACTTGCTAGATCAAAAGTCTGTAGTGCCCACCGCTTAACCTCCCACATTCCTGCCCCATCAGGACTGCCAGTGCCTCCTTTCTGCCCTTCCCTCAATGATTTGTGTTAAGTAATGGGGTTTGTGGTTTATTTTGTTTCTTGGGAAACGAGATGGCACTCAGCTGTCCTTGCCAAGCCCCTGGGGGGATATTTAGGAAGACCAGCTGGGGTCTCCTGCCTCCTGGGAGTGCAGCCGCTGACACCTCCAGTTTTAACCTTCTTTCTTATAAATCACAAAGGGCAAGAGACATCCCATGGCCCTCTGCTACCATGCTTGTGGGAGTGCTTTGATCTGTTTACACTAGGCAGGTTAGTGGTGGTCACCTATAAAATTAAGAGGTACCAACACCAGCTTAATCCTTGATCCTGGGAGGTTTTTGGATCAAGGGAGAGAAAGGACACTGAAAAGTACTCCAGAGATGACACGATGGAAAGAACAGTGACAAATACCATGAGCAATGCTTGACAAGGAGAACTGACACATTTGCTTCTCCAGGAAGGAGGGTGACCAGCACCCTCGCTTCCAAGCTTGGGTGTCCTGGAGTCAGGCTGCCCAGCTTGAAGGAGTCTGGCAGCATTGACTGGTTCTTGGAAAGGAGTCAGAGGGTGGCCAGCGGCCCCTCCCCAAGGTTGGCAAAATGGAGACGACCCCCCCTCCAAGTCTCATCTAGCTGCCTCTGCTCTCCTGTCCGGGTAGTTTCCAATCCTGACTGCACAGCTCCGGATCAGATGACGGTTCCTTCCAGCCCTGAGCCCCTTGGCCACATAGCTCCAAAATCCAAGAGCTCCTTTCTCAGCCTTTGCCCGTGCAAAGCTGTTCATTGGCAATAACTTGTGTTCCCTTCACATTCCCTGGAGATGGAAAGGAAATTTCGTTGGAGAATGTTCTACTTTGCAAAGAGGACAGCGTTTTTTAAGACATAGAAATCAAGTGTAAGACACAAGCACCTAGGGGTTAGCGAAAATTCTAGCCTCCTTTTCCTGGATATAACTGCCCATTTAGGAGAATAAACCTGCAAGTATAACGTGCTGAATTTTCACAAAGCGAGCACATAGTGCGGCCAGCGCTTTGCTCAGGAGATGGGAAGCTGCCGACACCGTGGCCATCCCCCACGTTCAGGGAATCACCAGCCAGATTCTACCACAGGCCCACTGGTGTTTAGTTACAACATTCGGTTCTTGGATGATCATTTTAAAAATGAATTGCTTTAATTTAACTCAAATCCCAAACGTAAGATGAATTTGCAGATGCAGCCCGAAGCTAGAATCCATCTATCTTCTGCAGAAGGCCAGCGATTTCCTTGGGCAAGAAAATAAATTAGTGCTGACAGTTGTCTGGGGCGGCAGTCCTCCAGACCAGGAGCACGGAGCGGATCAGCTCTTCTCTTAGAGCTCCGCTCCTCACCTCTGGGGTTGGTCAGAAACGTTCCCATCAAAGCAATGGCTTTTTCTTTTCTCTTTGGGGCAGGAGTTTCCTGACCACCCCCTTCCCAGTGAAGGCATAAACAAGACCGCTCCTGTCTCTAACCCCAGATTCCCACCAAGATAGCTCTTTCTCTCCCCAGGCTTCTGCAAGTCTCTTTATTTCATTCTTTGAACCTGTGATTGGAGGTTAAAGTGCACCAGGTTGGAAGGGGGAAGCTCCTAACAATAAAGGTTTGAATATTTAGCTGTGATCAGGTCGCTGCCCTCTCGCAAGGTCCCCCCACCTTATCTTTTAAAATGCAAATCGTGTTGGGGGGGGCCAAGCGCCGAGTGCGCGCTGCGCCTCGACGTCTCCAGCCATTGGTGTCTGTGTCATTACTAATAGAGTCTTGTAAACACTCGTTAATCACCTAAGGCCGCCGGCCTGGGGATCCGCACGCCAGCCTGTGGCGGGTCTTCCCCGCCTCTTTAGCTTAGTGGGAAGGAGGTGGGAGGAAAGAAGGAAGAAAGAGAGGGAGGGAGGAGGCAGGCCAGAGGGAGGCACCGCCTTGGAGGCAGAAGCGCCGAGAGGAGCCAGCCGAACAGCGGAGCACCGCGCGCCGGGGCGCAGCCACCCGCCGCTGCTGGCACACCTCCGTCCCTTCCCTTGCGCGTCCTCGCCCCAGCCAGCCTCCAGCGTCCGTCCCCAGGCAGCATGGTGAGGTCTGCTCTCGGTCCCTCGCCACCATGTACGTGAGCTACCTCCTGGACAAGGACGTGAGCATGTACCCCAGCTCCGTGCGCCACTCGGGCAGCCTCAACCTGGCGCCGCAGAACTTCGTCAGCCCCCCGCAGTACCCGGACTACGGCGGGTACCACGTGGCGGCCGCAGCGGCCGCGGCCGCGAACTTGGACAGCGCGCAGTCCCCGGGGCCGTCCTGGCCGGCCGCGTACGGCGCCCCGCTCCGAGAGGACTGGAACGGCTACGCGCCC